GATTTCGGATGGCTGAACCAATCTTAATTGTGGTTTCATAAACCTCCTCATATGTTAGCCAACTGTAGGGACCTGCCTGTAAACATTTTTCATTTAATGTTGAAATTACAATAAGCTTAAAGATCATTTACAGTTATCCTTATAGTCATCTCAACAATTGAACACTGCAGAAAATGTACCTTTTTGTCAACAACCTGACGGCGGCCCAGCATTTGATTTTTAGGATTTTTCTTAACTGATTCACTGCGAGCATAAAAATTTAAAATGAGAGTAAGAAAATGAATATCAAACCAAACTAATCAACACAACTACTTGAGCTCGAATATTATAACATGGCGCACCAATATTCGTTGAGTCTAGCTAAATTCCAAAAGCTAAGATAGACTGTCCAGTACTATATAAGAAAACAATTCCATTATGGGCATCGATAACACAATTTTTTGAAGATTCACGCCAATCAATCAACGAAGCTTCAATTCCCAAAGCTAGATTATGAGTTGTGGATTGTCAAACAAAATCACATAAATAAATACAACAAAAAAAAAATTCTCCCTCACCCAGTGTGGTGCACTATAAGACAAAGATTGAAATACTCGTCTCAATCAATCATCTAAGCTTCAATTCTGCTACAAACATTGAAATCTTATGGGACCCTAGAAAGATGAGAGTCTAATCATATATTATTTGTGATTTTTTAAATTTATTTTTCTGTCACTTTAAAATCGTTCCGTTTTATGAACCGTCGTCTAATCATTCAAACAATGGTCAACCCACTGTATAGCATTTATCAAGTAAACTCACATTACTGAATTGAAAAATTCATGCAAAACAATTTGGAAATTGATGTTTAATTACCTAAAGAAGTCCCAAGGTGACTCAAAACGAGTAGGCATTTCCATGAGGCCATCTTTAGCATAAATATTCCTATAAACTGGCCCTGCTGACGGCTTTCCGTCAGAAGGTGGCCGGGTTTCTTCAACTTTCACTGTATAATTTGACATTCTTCCCTGAGATATATAAAAATCCACAATTGAGAATTGCAAGCTAAAATCTCAGTGAAGTAATGTAATTATATATAAATATATGTGAATAGATCAAATTTAGCTAAGACCTAGTCCATAGAAATGATGAGAAAAAGGAAATGAATTGTGGAAAAAAGTGGTTAGTTGAGCAGATGCAATGCAGCCAGCTAACCAGTTATGGAGGCTTTAATTAGTTTCAGTAACTGGTACCTACTTTTGCCGGTATCAATTATTCCTAAGGTTTATCTTAGTTTCGATAGATAGAATTACTTTACGAAATTATATAATGTATTTTTGATGAAATAACTGATACAAATTGTAAAAAGATTTACTTACACACATGCATTTAATACACAAGTAATAGGGTCAGTTTACGCTGTGGACTTTTGCAGATGAAAAAAGGACATTTGTATTAAATGGGTAGTGAAGAAAGTAGTTGAAAATTTAGTTAAAGCTATTTCCTCAATTTGATTAACGTAATTAAGTTTGTTACAAATGCTTAAACAGTTAAAAGTAACAAGTTTAGTGCAAAAATGAAAAGAATACTTAAAAATGGAAATGCGTAAAAGGGTACAACCAGTTAACTATTTGGATGTTTTTATGAAACAACTGGGAATCCTTCTCTTCTCACTGTTTTTGTTTCTTCTTTTTCGCCTTGTAATCTTTTTTTTTCTCTTTTTTCTTATTCTATGTATTATTTTATGAAAAATTATGGTCTGATTTAAATAAAAAAATGAAAAATTTTAATTTTGTGATTTTTTATTATTTTTTATCAAATGTATCAAAACTTTCTTTAGTCTGACTTAAATATATCACGTGAAAATTTAAAATTAAAATAATATCAAATTCAATAATTAGATATTATTTTGAATTAAATAATGAGTCAAATTTAACTCGTCCAATTTATATTCTCCATTCACTTTTACCTGTTACATCTGAATTTGTTCATTAGATAAAATTTATATGACTACTTTACTGTGTATTCTTATTAAATAATGTTAATATTAAATTTTGAAAAGTAATTTTAAAAATAAGTTATTAAAGCAAAAGGATGAAATATGGAAATTATTTTTGATATTATAAAAGTGACAACTAAAAATAAAAGTCTATTTTAAAAATAATAGACAAATAAAAGTGCCAAGAAAAGTAGTCAAACTAATGAAGTTTTTTACTACTACAATTTATCTAAGAGTGGCAAAATCAACTGTTTAAGTTGGACAAGTTATTAACCTGCCTATTAATTATCTCAACCCATGAAAATTGAGTTAATATGTAACTCACATTGGTTGATAAGAAATCTCATCAAGATATTTTTCAATTTTTTTTTTTAATTTGATATGCTATGTATATAGTCATAAGAGAAAAAAAAGTTTAATTAGGTACTAAGTAGTTTAAACAACAAATCAAACAATTAAGCTTAGTAATTATTGAATTGAGTTGAATTTTAATTCGATATATAATTTATTTTTTAACCTTAACTCATAATCTGATCGAGTCTTGAATTCATTATTATTTTAATCCATTATAATTCACCTAAATATGACTCAACCCACCCAATTGTCATTCCTAAATTTATCATATAATTATATTAAGTAAACATACTATTTTTTTTTAGATAAAATGATGACAATTTATATTTTATAATGCGATTTAAATTTCTTCGATCTTTTTTTTCACTTCTTCCAGGAATGTTTTTCATTTACCATGCATTTACCTTTGGACATATAACATGTTATTTTTTATGTATAAATTGTGACTTAAGATGACAAAAATAATAAAAAGAAACATATGCAGACAAATATTTACCGTTCCATATGTCCCAATAATACCTCATACTTGGAACTATCATTATATCTTTGTCATTTTTTTGGTAACAACAGTATTTTCATAAATTATCTTATCGTACTTTTTATTATCTTCGAACTATTTTGATAATTGATATTGTCAGTATATAGATTTGTGGAACCCAATTAGAACAAAAAAGATGTTCAGACAGTAAATTTTGAAGTTACAATTTTTTTTTATACCAATCTGAATTTGTCAAGAAAGACCAGATTTGCTTTATGATTTTTAATTTTCTAATCATTTTTATAAGAGATTTTTCACTGTTATACGTAAGAAATTTGAGGGAAAAATATATTTTATTTAAAAGTCATCATATTTATTAAGGCAACTTTCACATATAGCAAACAAAAAATTCATATTTGTATGCTATAGCAAACTTTGTATAATTGCGCTCCATAGCAAACATAAAAACTGTATAATTCGCTATACATATACAAGTGTATAATTTGCTGGCCTATTTCGCTGTAATTGTATAATTCGCTATCCTATTTCACTGCAATTGTATAATGCACAATTGTATAATTCACTACCTATTTCGCTGCAATATTATGTGTATAGCAAGAAGATATATGTTTTCCTCTCGCTTTATACAAAAACAGAAACACAATATATATACTTCTGTTGTATAAAGCTAGAAAAAATTATATTTCACTGCAATTGTATAATTCATTGACCTTTTTCTCTGTACTATTTGAAGTAAAATGTTTGTAAATTGTATAATTAAGTGTACAACATGAAGATATATATTTTTGCATGTGTATATACAATTTTCTCTCACTTTATACAAAACAGAAACAGAATTATACACTTCTGTGTATAAAGCGAGAGAGGCGAGCGAGAATGGAGAGTGGCGAGCGAGATTTCTGGGAGAGAAACGCTGGCAAATTTTAACTAACGTTTGCTATGGAGCACAATTAAATCAAACCCTAGCTATTCCATTTATTTTAGATTATTAGTTTGCTATTATATACAATTTTTCCCCATTTATAATTCAATTGTTAATCGTTTCGCGTAAACTACATCATTACCATATATACTAATTCTATCTTTACTATCAAACAATTATATATATTACCATTCTAACTATTTTATACCATATATTACTAAAGAATCACAAAGATACCCACATACCCCTAAAATTAGAATTCTATCTTTACTGTCAAACAATTACCTTTATTACCATTCTAACTATTTTATACCATATATATATTATTAAAGAAACAAAAAGATAGCCACATACTCTTAAAATTAGAATTAATTAATTACCTTTATATTGAAACTCCAGTTTTAAAAATAACAATATCTCTCCCCACAGTAATTAACGATTAGTAAAACTTTGTACTCGTAAAATCGGCCGCAAACAAACCAAAATCATGTCATAGCTCTGGAAAACGGCAATTGATGTTCGTCAACTTCTTGCTTTTTACCCTCTTTAAATTAAACGTATCAATGCATATTCATGTGATTAATATCCCTTCGTTGTCAAATTGTTACTATTTCGGACCCGTCTTGACGGTGCAAAAATCACTTAGACTGGCGTAGATGGTTGCCCTATATACAATTTTTTTCTATTGTTTTTATTTTGTGGACATGTTAATGGTCTTAGCAGAAGGGTTGGTGAACCAATAAATTTCATTGTTGGAAGGAAATGCTAGTATTAAATGTAACATTATCAGTCAAAGGTTCACATGCATAACTCCAAATATTACACGGTTGTACTCACTAAGACTAACTCCCTTTCTGTTTCATTTTATTATTGCCCTCTTAAGGAAGTATATATCTCATTTAGAGTTTAAACTAGAGACATACATATTGAAACACATACAATGATAATCTTATTAATAAGTAGATAGATGTATACATTTCAAATAGTATTTTTGTTAAATGAAAGGAGTACATTTTTTAGCATAAAACTTACATTAAAATAGTTGCGTATGTGATTGAGCAATTACTAAATGAATTGTTGATTCTACGTATTGATGTGAATCGAACATTGGTGAATTATTATACACCAATCTTTGTACTCCGGAGCCATTTGCATAAACACATCGGAGCATGGTACCTCTTAAGTTGGGTATTATTGGACTTCATTCTACTACTAGACTAGACATGTGTCTTACTCACCTACCACAATGTCATCTCTTTATTTTCTTACTGCATTTTGCCTACCACATGTCATCTTCATCTAAAAGATTCAAATTTACGCAACCCATAAAATTCACTAAGCACTTGACTGACGCATGGAAAACGGGTTAGCAACAAAACAATGAATAAACCAAAATTCTATTTTTGTACTGCCAACTTAAATCTTGAATTTATCATGTATCAAATTAAAAAACAAAAGTGCTTGCTGCAGTATCATCCAATGGAAAAAAGTTAAGTTTAATTAGGTCCATTCCGTGAGTAACCTTTTTTTGGATAAGCTCCAATAGTAACTCTTCGAAAATACTAATAGTCAAAATTTCCCAATAAATGCACGCATTTGCTTTTTCTTTATCTCACTATTTCAACACTTAACCAATAGCCCCCCTCTCTCTCTGTATTAAATGACCTCCACAGACCAGCAGGCATCGCATTAATTTCCTCTTCTTCTTCCCAATGTAACTCTCCCCCAACCATTAATGTCACTGACCCCATCACCCCGCGCGCCTCCTCGGTCATCGTCCGCCATAACTATCATTGATCGGACGGTTGTCGTTTCCCCAAAAATCACCTGTTCATCCATCTTCACCGTCTGTGATATCTGTCCGGTGACAGTAAGGCTTCTGGATCACCGCTCCTAAGACGGCTAGATGAGTATACACCTCCACCACCACCAACCCCCGATGTTCTCATGAACATCGGACTTGCGAATGATTTGCTTCTTCTTGACGAGCTTCCACCTCCGCCGGTACTGTATCTCGCGCTTGATTCCGATAAAGGGAAAAATCCACCTCTAGTTCGCCGGAAGAAGGGTGATTTCATCCCTCTGTAATAGCGGAAGGAGAATACTCTTGGCTTTGTTAAAGAGCTGAACGGTGAAGGCCTTTTGCTCCAGAAGCTTCCCGATCCTATTGCTCTGCGGTACCGCCATGGTGAAGCTGTTGCTGGTTCGAGCATTAATCTCTCTGATCCCAAATTCCTCTCGAATCCGAAGGAGTAAGAACGTTTTAGAAAAATATCACGTCTGTTAAATCTCTCCTCTGATTGGATGTTCCTCCTTGGCGACGGTTCCTGTGTGATCTCTGACACCGTCGTTGTATCGGATTCTGGCTGAATTTCATCCAAAGGCTCTAGAATTGTGCTCTCCAACATCATATCATCGAAACTTGGGCGAATCCTTGCTGCCATCAACGGAGTAAACGGCGACTCTGGACGGAATATTCCAGCACGACACAAAGGGCAATTCGCGTGTGATTTAAGCCATATATCAATACAGTCCACATGAAAGGCATGTGAACAAACCGGAAGAGTACGCATATAGTCGTTCTCTTCGAATTCCAGTAAGCAAACCGCACAATCATGAACGCCGCTTTTCCGAGTGTAGACAGAAAGAGGAATCGTTTTGATCACTGAATCATCCAATCCGTAAGGAGATAACACATGGAAAGCACCAGTCGGATCAAACGGATACGGAGGCGACTCAATATCACCCGCAGATGACGAGGGAACGTAACGTCGGCGACGGCGGCGCCACAGTCTATAACGGCCGTGTAAACGGAGCAGATGGCGAGAGAGTAGCCGCGAGTAAGTAATGATAACAAAAGCAGTAGCAATAATAACAACCATCGCAATCAAAGGAGGACTGAAATCAACCGGTAACTTAGCCGGCGGTGGAGTAGTTGATAAATCTGATGCTGACGTGGATGTTGATGAAGTGGTTGCAGGTTGAAATGTGGATGAATGATGAAACGGATGATTCAATGAAGGTGAAGGAGCTTTTTGAGAATCATTCAGGTGTGACGGCACCGGTGAGGGAGCAGGAGCTATATGATGGTGGTGGTGGTGGTGGATCATGATGATGAGGTGCAGGGGGCAATTAACAAAAGGTGGAATTGGTGCTTTTATTTATTTCTACTCCCTTTATGAGGGGGGGCTTTGGTTAATGGGGGAATGTGTTGGTGTAAATGTTTTAGTGCGTTTTTTTGTGTGTGGATTTTGACTAACGAAAGAGAGGGGGAGAGTGATTTTTTTTTTTTTTTTTTGTGGTGTATTGCGTCACTATTACTACAAATTTACAATAAGTTTGTGGAGGAAGGACGCATCACCATTCCTGAATTTAATGTGTAGGGTGGTCCTACGGTTTTTGCTGATGTGGCGATATGTAATTGGATGTGTTGACAGTCGAGGGATTTTGTGCTTATAAATTTGAGATTAGTTCACAAGAAAGAGAGGTTTTAGCTTTTTGAAGTGAGAGCACATCACTAACAGAGAGAAGACTCGAAGACTGAAGTATGCTTAGCTGTTTATTTATGGGGCTTGATAAAAAAAAAAAATTGGTCAAAGCATGATAATATCTTTCTTGTCATTTTAAGTCGGGCCGTATAATATACGATAACACGATAAAGATACTAAAATTTTAATTAAATTAAAATTTCGGAATATGTTTGGTGAAAATGTCAAATCAAATTTAAAAGATCATATAAAATTATTACAATTAAGCAGTGAAATATATTGAGATCAAACAATATAAACTTAGAGATTGTACAATTTACATATGATGTGGAACAAAGAAAAGTGAAATAACGATGATGGTGGAGTGAATAAGTATTTTTTCATCTATAATAAGAAGTTTTGAATTCAAGTTCTTTGTATATGAAGTCCTCTTTGATAAAATATAAATGATATGAATAGAGGTTGAGACAATAAATTCTGATCTCTTTTTCTTTTTCAAATTATCTTAACTTAGATTTTGTAAAAAAATATATCAAAACATTACAAACCTTTTAAGATGGAATTACTTAAAAGCAATGCTTCTAGTCTTTTAGACATACAATCGACTCATGAAAACTAAAGTCAACAATGATTTCTTATGGATTCTCTATTTTATTTTATTCTAAGAAAACCAGAAAAAAGAGAGGAAGTGACAACAATTAGATCCATACGTACAATAGACAAACGCATGTGGATTTTGAGAATATTTTTCACTGGAAAAGTGCAAAATAACGCTATTATCACTAACTTGTCAACTTATAAGTGTACCATCATTGTCTATGATAAAGCGCGTAAATAAAAATATTGAATTTGAATGATTAAAATTTATTAACTTAATAAATGAAAAGATCAATGATTTAGCTAAAAATTATTTGGATTGAAATGAGTTGGATCAAAATGGCTAGATGATAAGTTATAATACAACCATTCAACTTTTATTAAATTTTAATTTCTTTCATTATTTTCGTGTAACTTATTTAGTAGTAAAATAAGTAATATTTTTCTAAAATTATAATTGTATATAATATTAAAGAAATGACAAAATTTCAGGTAGATCAATTTATTTACATATTTCGTGAAAATTGATTGAATTTTAACGAATAAAAAAATAATTGAATTAGTAATTGTGCATAGGATCAACCCATCTAAACTTGGGTCAATAGTCTTCTTACGCTAATGTTGCTACCCACAGATATAACTTGAGTTTTTGGCCAGAATTATTCTTAAACTATATATCAAATTCAAACTATATCCTTAAAGTATCATTCTTATCATAAAACATTCTACAAGTATTTTAAAGTAAATAATTTTTATCTTTCTACTTGAATTTATCAGAAAACTAATCGATATATCCCACAAAAATTAAGTCATCCCTTCCTTATTATTATTCTTAGATATGTCAAGAATATTATAGTAAACTTTTTCGTAATTGAGTTAAGAATATGCAAAATCTTTTAATTTGACCGTTTTTTCCATTCATTTTCATGTAATTTTAATTAAAAATGTTATTAGTTTAAATATGTTTGTTCTCAATTGAGTATGCTAGAAGCGACATTTGTTGGAGACTTTCGCTTCTAATAATGTAGAATGAAACTTAAATACGAGACGTAATCAATAGACTTTTGCTTCTAATAATGTAAAATGAAACTTAAATACGAGACGTAATTAATATTTTGGTCACTTCAATATTAGATTGACCCAAAAATCTATTAATTTAATTGGTTAAGAAACAGGTAACAATAATTAATCTTCAATTTCTTTCCATTATGAGAAAGACAAATAATGTGCACTCGCTCCTTCCAGTTATTTTTAGTTTCCATAAGCATATCTTTTATATTTTTCAAGAACTTCTTGTAGAAAGTAATGAAATTATGCAGAATAATTTTTGTTGATAGTCACGTTAATTATTTATGTTTTCGTAAGATCCCTAAGTTTTTTTTATGATATCTAACAAAATGATGAAAGTTGTTTACTTACAAATACTTAAAGGATGTTTTATGCTAAAAATGATACTTTAAGGATGTAGTTTAGATTTGAGGTATAGTTAAATAATTTTTCTGCTAAAAATGATACTTAAAGGATATAGTTTAAGTTTGGGGTATAGTTGAAAAATGTTTTTAGCCAAAAAGTTGATATAACTTATTCAATTGGTCTTATTTGGTTCGATCAATCAATTGAAAAATATAAGAATTTATCTATATAATTTGAGAGTCGTCTCATTTTTTTTTCACCACTAAATTTAGCTTGACGGATAGATATGATTGATATTTTCCAGATACAGATTTAACAAGTCAAAAAATGTAAGAGATAAATATTGAAAGCACCGCTAAACTTATTCAAATTGTCTTATTTAAATGCGGACTTCTTTTTTTTACTCTATATATCTATGTATATGCCATATAAACAAAAAAATTCACATATTATAAGACATGACATAAGACGAGTGTTTTAAAAAATTACTTAATCAAGTAGACAAGTGTTTTTAAAGCCTTTAATAGTGAGAAACTAAAATAACAATTCATGATGAGTTTATGAACGTTTTTAATACTAATCTCAAAATGTAATTACCAGGTCTAATCATTTCCAGCAATTCTATTTGCTAAAAATAGTTCACTTAACAATAAAAAAGAACCCAAAAACAAAACAAGAGACCCGGCCCAAGTCTGCCCTGATAGGCTGATGGGCCTGAGGCGCAGAAGCGGTTACCATTAAACACGACCCAAGTCTGTTTTTCGGAACAAAAAGCGTAAAACCCTCACAGATACTCCGATTCAGTTGGAAGCTAGGGTTTTAGATTCTTCAATCTCAAATCTCAAGAGTTTCGATTTTGCGAAGAAGCAAAAATGTTTCCAGGAATGTTCATGCGTAAACCTGACAAGGCAGCTGCTTTGAAGCAGTTGAAGACCCACGTCGTCCTGTTCGGTACTTGGGTCGCCGTGATTCGAGTCGCCCCATACATCCTCCACTATTTCTCCGATCAGAAAGAAGAACTCAAGCTGGAATTCTAGACTAAAGCTTCGTTTTGTTCTTCTTTCTTCCCAGGTAAACTTTTCTTGATTATCCAATTTTCAACTTTAGTTGAGTACTTTCTTATGCATTTGTCTCCTGATACATGATCAACTGCATTGTATTATTGTAAATTATTATCTAAGTTTCTGTGTATGCGGTTCTTGATTAGATATAGGAAAACGGTTAACATAGGATAAAAATGGTGAAATTTTGAGTAATCTTTTGGAATAGAGGTGTAATTGATTAATGAATTAATACCGTAGGCATTTGTATATGGCTCAGCTCATTTTATTAGTGGTGATGTTAGGGGCTGAGTTGAGCTATACGAGCTAGATCTTGTTTGACTTTTGGACTCTTAAGTAGAGTTCTTTTTCTGGTTAATCGGGTCTTCAAGCTTTCCAGTTTGGCAACAGTGAATGTCAGTTGCCATCCGAATTAGAGTCAAGAAAAGACCAAAGGTTTCGACTTGATGTTGCGTGATAACTTTGACTAGCAGATTTAACTAAGGGACATAATCTATCTCCAGATGTCTGTCCAAACCTTTAACTAGCCAAATAAGGGACATAAATGCTGATGTTTCAGGAAAGGAAAAGAAAAGGGATTGTTGAAATAAATTTTTCACCTCGAGACAGAAGTTGACATTGCTTAATGTGTACCATGTTCCTTAAATGAAGAAGAATTTAATGTCTGCGCTAACTAATACTAGTGGCTGAATTCTAGCGCAACATGTATGTTATGAAAAGAATCTGTTCAGGACCTGTGCTGAAGTGAAGTAGCATGAGAAGGTTTTGATGGGCAACTATATCAATGTTGTTGTTTTGGAAATGAGAGGAAACGAGAGGAACGGTTGCAATAAATTGACCTTGGCACAAAAATTCACGTTGCTAAATTTGTATCATGTTCTTAAAATGATGAATAATTTAATGTCATTATGTATGTTTCAGGAAACAGGACTATTGAAATAATTTTTCCATTTCGGGATAGATTTTTTTTTTGCATCAATAAACTACATAGTTCAAAAATATTCGTAGCATCCTGTATGATCCAACTTGGGAAAACATTCTCGCAAGAGAATTCCTTCAACAAAGAGAGAGATTCTAGCTAAACTATCAACTATTGTGTTCAAACATCTAGGTATATAAGGAGATTCAACATGCTTGAAAGCTTTTGTTGCATCAACAAACTACATAGTTCAAACATATTCGCAGCATCCTGCATGATCCAACTTGAGAAAACGTTCTCTCAAGAGAATTCCTTTAACTAAGAGATCGAGAATCTAGCTAACTATTAGCTATTGTGTTCAAACATCTAGGGATATAAAGAAATTCATCATGATTCAACATGCTTGAATGCTTTCAAATGTCTTCACATTTCACTTCTATCTCATGAAGTAAGCACTTGTTTTAAAAAGCATATCAACAACTGATTTTAGAAGTACATCACTCTCTTCCAACCTTTACTGATAGCACATTTAAGAGTTTCCTAATAGCAATCGCTTTAGCAGTCATGACTTTCCTGATATAGGATTGGGGATCTACGGGCATGAAGCAATTTCCAAAGGCTATCCAAAGCTACCATACTAATAGTTACCCTTCTATCATCATTCTGCGACCCTCGGAATGATGTTGCTATTTGTGTAATATGTTTTTGAAAGAAAGAAGCATTTAGTGTCGGCTAGTTTGCTTTCTAAGAAGTAAATTTACCATTCTCAAAAAAAAGTTTGCTTTCTAAGAAGGTTTCAAGATTGTAATAGAATATGATCATGTAATAGTGTTGAAGAGTGGTTTATTCATTGAAAGGAGGAAACCATTTTGATGACATGTTTAAGTTATGTATTGGTGCAATAAAAATTGCTTCTATTTATATTGTTGAGTTTGATTCTCTTCAGTCGCTCTAGACATCTAAATTTTATTTCAATAAATTATGTTGAAAAATGATCATATTGCTTGCAATAGTAAACATGTAGAATAATGTAAAATATGCATACACAGGAAAATGACTAAGAAACCTATTTGAAAAGTTGAAAGAGTTGTAAAATTACTAGACCTAATACATTCTGATATGTGTGAATTATATGGAGAATCAACTTGAGGTGGTAAAAGATATTTTATTACTAGCTAGACAAACTCAACACATTTAGTCATTTGGATATAAAGGAGTTTAATAATCCTTGTGACTTCAGTGTCAAGTTGATTGAAAACACTAGCATAAATGTGGCATAACTAGTTTATACAAGTGTCATAGGTGATGTATGCCATGGTTTTCCAATTGTGTTGGAAGACTATGTATGACGCAAGTTGGATTAGTAGTGTTAATGAAAACAAATCCACTCTAGCGGGTGGCGCCATTAGTTGAGCATCCAAAAAACAAACTTCTATTTTCTATTCTACAATGAAATGTGAATATATTGCATTAGTAGTTGCGGCAAAAGAAGCTGAATGGCTTTGGAACATGTTATTACTTATTAGACGTAAATATGTGGCCACAACCTATGTCAACTATTTCCATACTTTGCCCAAGTGAGACTGCGATGCGTAGCTCACAATAAGTTTTATAATGGAAAATCAAGCCACATAAACTTAAGACATGCTAGTACAAGAGAGTTAATAAGTAATGAAATTAATTTTGTACTGTATGTGAGATTTAGTAAGAATATGTCATATCCACTTACAAAAGCAATAACTAGAATACGAATGCATCGTGAAGGTAAAATCTTTAAACTAAAAAGACAAGTAATGGGAACTCATCTTTGAGTTGGTATACACTCTGGCAATACAAGTTCAATGGGTACTAACAAGTTACTTTGCATTGTTTAAACATTGATTTGATCTTCTTTAGAGATCCTGATTCCCGAGTATCGCATATTGATATGTTATGAGTTAGAGAGTTGTTAAATGCATATCATAACAAGGGCACAATGACAAAAGGATAGGTTGATTTAATTCTTAATGAAATTAGCAAGTGTAAAGTAATAGGGACGATATCTAATTTCACCTATATGAGTATTCAAGTATGATGTCTATTGCTAGTGGGAGGTAGCAGATAACCTGTGGAATTAGTAGAGGTGCACACAAGTTGACTCGAACACCATGGTCATTGAAGTGGTGCACCGTCTTAAACAAGATCTAGAGAGTTGGTCTTGTAAAAATTCATGAAGTCAGAACTAGTAGCGCATGGCTATCTTAGTGCTAAAGTAAGTTATGGTTTGTTCAGTCGCTATTCTAACGTCATATGTGTGGTACTTTTGATTTGACGTAATGAATTGTAGTTAATCCTATGTTGCTTGGACTTTTCAAAAATGTCAACTGGTGCGTGTCAGTAGTGTATTTTGGAGAATCCAACACGGGTGCGACATCGAAAGTGAAGAGTCCATGCAACTTAGGGTTAATCATCAACGTCGTCAAACTTCAATGTATTTACACTAATAGAAAAAACAAATCTATTTAAGATACTCATATTGAGGAAAACATTACAAAGTAGTTGGGGATTGTTGGAATAGTTTGTACATATAGGAACTTTCCCACATCGATAGGAACTTTTTCACATGGTGAATTTGTAAATAAATATATATATATTTTTTGATAAGGTGTATTTGTAAATAAATATTATATATCTAATGACTTGGGAATGGGCCGGGTCAGACCTTCAAGTGAAAGACTCTTTTTGTTTTCATGTTTATTTTTCTGTTACAGGTTTAATTTACTTGGAACTTAAATTTTGAATTTATATTTTAGTTTTAGTTGAAACATCTTTCAGATAAAAGAAAACCTTTTCAGCATGGTCTTCTTCTATAAATTACATTACTGTGTGAACAGTGATTGAAGATTTTGCAGTAACATTTTGGCTGTAAGAAACTTCTTTGTATCCCTCAAAAGAATATGCCTCAAAATTTCTTTTTTATTCTAACAATTATGTTGTGCAATATTCTCTGGAGCCCTTCACTCTCTGTGGGTTCTTTATCAATTTGTCAAACTACATACACTTGTGTGCATAAAGCTAGTGGTATCATATAAACTCAATTGATTTATGCTTTTGCATTTTCCTTGTGCAGCTTCTCTTGAGGAATGGAATATCAGAAGGAATGGAGCAAATTTTTTTTTTCTTGTCCTTTCATAATCATATATGTCCCTGTTTTGAAATTTGTTGACATGTAATTGGTTGTTGAGATTAAACTTACAGTTGAAGTGATACATTTTATGAACTTGTTTTGTTTACATGCAACCTCGCTAAAATGCTTGAATGTGCTATATGCTCTCTTCCATGGGAGAAACCCAGGACACACAAGTTTCTTGTGTAGAAGAAGTTAAAGTTGCCTCTTTCATCTTTGTTCCGTCTCCTTTTGAGTACATTGTTGGATTTGTGAAAGGTGCAAAGATCTTTAATGGCTTGTATTATGTATAGAATTTTCAGGTAGCAGTAATAATGATGATAGTTAGAACCAGAAATTGGCCCCACATACAAATGTTTTTGTAGAATTTTGAAGTTGTGTTTTAAAGGTTGACTCAGATGTCTGTTTGGGCAGGGTAGTATGTGTGCAGATCACTAATTAAAGGCTGGTGTCTTTTTAGTTGGTCTTTGTACGTTTTGGTCATTTGCTTTGCACCTACTGTGTGAAAAGGGACACTAATTTTGATTTGTTCACCCATTTCATGTTGGATATTGACAAACTTAAACAAGCCCCAAATTAAGCAAGCTCAATTGCTGGAATTGTTGATTGATTGAAACTAGGAGGAGGAGAAACAAGAGCATGAAATGAGATGGGTGCTGAAATCTTTTTAGGAAAAATTAGTAAACTAGTCAAAATAAATAACATATTTAGTAAAAATATTCATACTTTATAAAATATTAGCAATAATGTCAAAAATGTCATTATTTTAAAAAATTTATGTGTCCCAATTTTCTTCCTATTTTATCTCTCTTTTTCAATTAATTCTATATATCTTTTTTTTTTAAAAAAAAATTATTCTCTCTCATATTTATCTTTTCAAAATTGTTAGTTCTCTCTCCCATTTAATTTTTTTTCTCTGTCTCATGGTTATCTTTTCTGATTTTCCTCCAACATTCAAGTTGCAAATATTTTTTTGCCATATATTTTGGTCGTTTTTTTAATCCAAAATTGAATCAACAAGAATCCCTTTGATTAAGGTATCTCTAATTTTTATCCTAT